GGGAGTTATTGTCTGCTGCATACTTTTTTGCTTCCCTTTTTTAATTTTCTCTGTAATTTATTTAGAAAGTTAGTGATAAGTGGCGTATCACTATTGCAAAGCCTGGTACGATTGTCCTTGCACCTGCCTTTCCTGCTAGTTGCTAGGTAACAAATTGCACCACTTTTTTCACTGCTGCCTGATACAAAATTGAAGTGCGGCTAGCGGACTTCTCGAGATGTTAGCTTATTGATGCGAAGCAGGTGTTTATACGAAGAACACGAGTTTTTGATGTTGACCTGACGCTCTATGGACAGGATCTTTGAACTAATACATCGACGGGCTCGAGTCAGCTCCACCCTCGAGGTCGTCACCACAGCTGGCTGCAATGGCTGGTCGGATAGGCGACGCCCCATCGCCATCGTCCATTTCGATCGCACTCGTTCGGCGCTCTCGCAACCACTATCAGATCAGTTCGTTCCTTTAAATTTATGACTTGTACGACACCCTACTTTCTCCTTTGTATTTTATCCGCCACGTATCTGACGTTTTTCAATCATAAATTGCAATGAAAATATAGCTCGCATCATTTCGAAAGTGCATTGCAGTCTTCTTTTTGCATGTGCGTCTCTTTCTAAAATTAATTTTGAATGCATCACAGTATGCTGTTGTAATGTATTGCAAAATCATTTAGCTGGTAAGCTTTAACCTCTTTTCATTCTGAAATTTTTCAAAGTGATGCAAGACTCTTCTAAACTGCTTTCAAGTTAGGTTCATACATTGCCTTTCTGGCATATTGGCCAATGACTATGAGAAAACTTATTTTGGAATTCAGATTTTAGATTATATGTTTTCAAATTTAACGGGGCGTTTGACCAGTTTCGCACGGAAACATTTATGTGCTTTTCTGAAGTGAAAAGTCCAATAAGAATGCTTTGTTGACTTCTATACTTTTTGTGCGCTGTGATGGTTGCACTGTTTTGCAGTTTCATTGTGTCTTTTGGAGATGAAAACAAAATGGACAATAATACAGTACTGTAACAAACTAGCAGTTTTGAAAGTTTCCCTAAAGGTAGCAAAGTTTGTTTTTGGGTACTTTTGTGTTTACATCGATGAATTATGGGGTACGAGTACAAAGGTTTACCAATTCGGAGAAGAAAATTAATGGGCATGATAGCCTCTAATTTCTTGTACCATAGTCTTAGTCCATTTCTTCATCTTATAACACGTCTAGGAATCCGAAAAACAAACGGGCTATAAGGTTTCGGGAAAACATGTATGAGACAGTAGTCCACCAAAGAAGTCTTATGGGTCTCATCAACGGATTCTATGAGATTGTCAGGAAGAATCATCGCAAGTATGTGATATTGACAAACTGTAGGAATCGAATTGAAATTATCTCAAGTGGAGAAGGTTTAATATTCAGTATCTTCCCTATTCAAACCTTTTCTGTGACTTGTTTCTCAGTATTGTCACAATCATCTACATTTCTCTATTTTGTATTCATTCACCTTCATCATTTTCTGTTGTTCCATTAGTGAATCTAAACCCACACAATCTTTTCCGTCGTTTGTGCGTAGCTAAGCGAGAGGCTCATCCAGAATTCCGCAAAGGCTTCTCCGCTGTTTGCTGTCATGCGCTCGCTGGATGTATCCCTCACTGTCTGCGCTCTTACCTCCAGCTTTGCCCTTGAAGATACACCTTCATGAATCTCTTCTTATAATCTCATTGATATTTTCATTAATATTTGCTCAAATTCATGTCGTTTGACCAAGTGAACATTCGGTCATGTTCTGTGCACGTTTTTTTAAAGAAAGACTCCTGTATGAGTCCCTCATTTTCAGTTGAGGCGCTGATTT